AACTTATGGGATGCCACCAAAGCAGTACTTAAGGAAAAATTAAAATCTCTAACCACCTAAATCAATAAAATAGATAAAGAGCAGATCAATGAATTGGGCATGCAACTAGAAAAAAACCAAAATTTTAAAATCCCCAATTAAACACTAAATTGGAAATCTTGAAAATCAAAGGAGAAATTAAGAAAATTGAAAAAAACCCAATGAACTAATAAAACTAGAAGCTGGTTTTATTGTGTGGGGGGGAAGGAACAAACAAAAAAATGGATGAATCATTGGTTAATTTGATTTAAAAAAGGAAAGAAGGAAACCAAATTACCAGTATCAAAAACAAAAGGAGTGAATTCACCACCAATAAAGAGGAATTTTTTAAAGATTATTAGTAGCTATTTTGCCCAATTATGTTCCAATAAATCTAGCAATCTAAACAAAATGCATATTTACAAAAACATAAAGTGCCCAGATTAATAGAAGAGGAATGACTCCATCTTGGAAAAAGAAACTGAACAAGCCATCAATGAACTTCCTAAGAAAAAATCATCATGGACAGATGGATTCACAAAGTGAATTCTACTAAACATTTAAATAACAATTAATCCCAGTACTATATAAACTATTTGGAAAAATGGACAAAGGAGTCCTGCCAAATTCCTTTTATGACACAAATATGTGCTAAACCACAAGAGCTGAAACAGAAAAAGAAAACTACAGACCAATTTCCCTAATCAATATTGATGCAAAATTTTTAAATAAAATACTAGCATGGAGATTACAGCAATATATCACAAGGATCATATACTACGATCATGTGGGATTTATACTAGGAATACAGGGCTGCTTCAATATTAAGAAAACTATCAACATAGTTGACTACATCAATAACAGAACCAACAGAAATAACAGGATTATCTCAATAGAAGCCTCTGACAAAATACAACATCCATTCCTATTAAAAACACTAGCAATCACAGGAACAAACAGAGTTTTCCTTAAATCAATCAACAGCATCTAAAACCATCAGCAAGCATTATCTACTAAGCCTTTCCAATAAAATCAGAGGTGAAGCAAGGATGCCCATTATCACCACTGTTATTCAATATCGTACCAGAAATGCTAGTTTTAGCAATGAGAGAAGAAAAAGAAAATGAAGGAATTAGAAGAGGCAATAGGTAAGAAAACCATCACTCTTTGCAGATGATGTGGCATACTTACAGAATCCTAGAAAATCAACCAAAAAATAAAAAATTTCATCCTATTATCTATATTCTTTGCCTTAAGGATTAAAAAAAAAAGCGCTGTATCAATTGACGAAGTTTGGTCCTTCAAGATTTTCTTAAAATCCAGCCTTTCTCATGTTAAAATTATGACAAAGGCTTGCTAGCCAAGTTATATAGAAAACTGATAGATAATAAGATAATAATGGCTAGCATTTATATTGCATTTTATGCTCTACAAAGCATTATCATATATTATTTCACTTGACCCTCAAAATAAACAAAGAGGTACTATTATTATCCTCATTTTACAGATGAGGGAACCAAGGCTGGGCAAATAAGTAACTATTACATGAAGTCCCACAGCAAGGAAGTTTCTGAGGAAAGATTCAAATTCAGGTCTTCTTGACTCCACATCTATCATTCTATCCAGTAAATGCCACCTGGCTGCTAGATAAGATCAAGAACAATTCCCCAACAGATAAGCAGACAGAAGAGAAATTTTCAAAAGAATAAACACAATTGAACAATCCTGTGGAAAACGTTCAGAATCACTAATTGTAAGAGAAACACAAATTAAAACAATACCGAGATTTTACCTCACACTCAGCAATTTAGCCAAAGTCATAAAAGGCAGAAAAAGTCAAGGATGGAGGGGCTATGCTATGATAAAAACACTGATACACTGAGATTGGAACTATAAAATAGCCCAACTCTTTTGGAAAACAATTATAGGAACAATTCTAGAAAAGTGAATAAATTATTCATACTCCTTGATTCAATAATCTGACTACTGGCATTGACTCAGGAAGGTGTTTGCTTCAGAAAACTATCTACCTCATTCATTCTATAGACTTTGTGGTACAATGGGAAAAACAACCAGCTTCTCAATAAGACCTAAGTTCTAGTTCCTTAGCTGTGTTAGGAAAACTTGGTTTGCTTATCTAAAGTGAGTGAGGATAATAATGTCATTCTTACTTACTTCATAAGAATATGACAAAAATTTAACAAAATCAAGCTCTTTGAAAAGTCAACATGTCATACAAACATGTCCTCCAATAATGTAATGAGTAGGAAAAATTATAGGCTTGCAATATATTCATTGCTTTAAAGCTTGAAACATTCAACTATTCTGTCCGGCCAGTGCAGAAATTCAATCCAGATATTTCCTGTTACTGAACACCCTCCGTCCCACACCACCATATATATATATATATATATATACCTGGGTTAACCAGTCAGAGTTTCTCCATAAGATCAGGCTTTTTCTCAACTGAATGACAGGCATGGCCTTGGTAGAAAAAAAAAATCTACAAGTGAGTATGATGAAAACAGGGTGGGTAGAGCAATAGATTTGGAATTAGAAAGATCTTAGTCCAAGCCCTGTCTTAGATACTTAACCATGTGAAACTGGGCAAATCACTGAACCTCTTTATGCCTCATTTTCCTCAAATGTACAATTAGGGGGTTGGATTCTAAGGTCTCTTCCAGCTCTAAATCTACAAGCATATGTATGGAAGAGCCAAATGGGTATTGCCATGACCTCCAAAATAACTGGAAAAAAAATCAGTTCTATAATGGTCTAGTAAAACTATTCAGTTTACTCAACAATCACCATCCTGTGAAATACCTCGCCTTGAATCCTAACTGATCCAAAGCTGACTGCAAACCCAGGAAAGAAGTAAACTAGAATTCAAGATAATTATGCCAGAATTTTTCATCTGAAGATAACGTTGAGAGAGTGATTACCACCTCAGATGTAGGCAACTAGCATTTGAATCCAGATCCTCAGATGCTATAAGTCTGGGCTTCTTTCTAATGAACTACCATCTCTATTAAATTTATCTCTATTTATCAACTATCTCTATTATATTTAATTCTTAGCTCGACATAACATAAATTATAAAATAAAATTTCTGTTGTCATTATCCTCTTAGATTTCCTCCCCATAATTCATCCTTTCATTCACCTTACCAAATTCTTATTCTGATAAAAAAAAAAAGGGGGGGAAGTAAGTAGAGGCACATTAAAAGTAAAGAGGAAGGCGAATATGTGCAAATATACCAACCTGGGAAGACTGACAACAATGGCTTTTTCATTTTGGTTGAAGAGTCAAAAACATGTTAGTTTGTTTGTATCAGACTCACATGTAGAAGACTGAATGAAATTTAAGCAACTGTAATTTTTCTGGAAGATGGTACTTCTTCCCATACATATAAAGACACCAAAATCATGCAGTTATATGCTTAACAAAAAGGATATCTTCTTAGTAACATATAATCTACAGAACAATCTTGACAAATTGTTAATAAGATTAACAAAGATTGGGACAAAATTCTTACAATTTAAATATTTTATTTTTAAGAAACTGATTATTCATTGAAGACCGAACAAATGTAACAGGAAAAGAATTAGAAAAATAGCAAACTGCCAGGGTAAATTAAATTTAATATATCTATTTCTTAACTCTGACTTACAGTGTGCTGTTAACAAAAACTGTTCCTTTACAAAATCTGAAGTTTCTTTGAAAGTTAATTTGATGCAACTTTTGAATTGAATTGATAGGCTATGGTACTATGCAAAACAAATCTATTTTCACAAGTATACTGCTGGGTAACAGTGCAACTAAAGTTTTTACTTTATCTCCAATCAAAGTGGTATCCAGAATTTACTGATATCTAGATGATATTTTAGGGCCTTACAAAAAATACACCTCTAGATGAAGTTATGCAACCTGGGAAAGTTAAAAGTCACGAATCAGTAACTATTTCTCAGATACACACATCAACATGGAAAATGGAATTTAATTCTGGAATGGGCCCTGAATTTAACGGAAGAAAGAGTAGGCTAGATTGGATTAGTCAATAACCATTGATTAGGAAAACTGTACAGTGCTTTCAGTGACACAAAGTTTCTCCCTGAAACAAAAGTCCTTTTTTCAACATTAATATTCTTCCAGCTAAATGGATGAAAATCATGGAGTAACACATTTTCAAAGAATTAAGATTCATACAGGTCACCCAAAGGGCAATACCAAAAGGTATAATGGGCCTAAATATGCATGTTACAAATCACTGAATCAACAAGTATGTAAATACTTATGTGCCAGGCATTGTGCTAGGTGCTGAGGATAAAGATTTAAAAAATGAAACAATCCATACCCAAACAAAGAACTGAAGCCAGAAGCAACATAACAAACATTATCAAACATATACATGAATGGAAAAGAAGATAAGCTGGTTGAAAGTTGAAAGTTAAAGATGCTCAGCCATGTTCTTCACTGGTACTCACAAAATATTAAAAGAATTAGAGGAAGAGATTCAACATAAAATCCAGAGGGTGGACGCCTCTGCTATGGAGATGTACAGAAGGATATGTACAAGAGAGGCACCAGATGATAAGGCATGCACTGATGGTGCTGGTACATACTGACATCAATAAGATCACGGACCAAAGAATTGAAATAATTTCTTGTTTAAACTTAGTAAGGAGGGAAAAAAATAAATGGTCATCTAATATTTGATCAGCTAAGAAGGAAATGTGTATAAATACAAATATGTTCTTTTTTTTCTCCTCAGAAGAATAATAATCACTTTTTGAGAAACTGTTCTTCTAGAATTTATTTTCTGCGCTATCAAAATTTTTATACAGACTAGGAAGCAAAGAAACATTTTTACAAATTTAAAATAACTATACTGAACTTTTTTCTCCAAGATCACTCAATTTTTAGGATGAAGGAATCTGAAAGCATTGGATAAGTAAATCTGTACAACAAGAATGAAATATTACCTGGCAAAGTTGTCTTCATGATATCAATTCCAACCTGTAGGTTAGGCTCAGCAGCAAGTACTGCATAGTCTCCTTGATGTGAGATATTAAAGTTGAAATGTGGATGAGTACTGAATGAGTCATTCACAAGGACTGGTTTCCCTTTTGAAGTTCTCTGCAAGAGTATATTATTCCAAGGGATCTTCAATTTTTCTGCAATTAATTTCCTCATCATCAGTCGACCTACCTGTGAATTTAATGATATTGTAAAAAACAGTATATAATAATGTCTACTGAACAATTATATCAAATGCCTCCATGTCAAATATTGGTATTTTTGGTTATTAAAATGCTATCTGAGGGCAGCTAGGTGGCTCAGTGGATAGAGCACTGGCCCTGAAGTCAGGAGGACCTGAGTTCAAATCCGGTCTAAGACCAAACATTTGACACTTACTTAGCTGTGTGACCCTGGGCAAGTCACTAAATCCCAATTGCCTAAAAAAAAAATTAAATAAATAAAATGCTATCTGCTAGCATAGATGGCACAGTGGACAGAGCACTGGGCCTGGAATCAGGAAGACCTGAGTTCAAATTCATTTTCACATAGCTACGTGATCCTGGGCAAATCACTTAACCTCTGCCTGCCTCAGTTTCCTTATCTGTAAAATAAGGTTAATAATAGCACCTGTTTCACAAGTTTGCTATGAGGATAAAATGAGATAACATTTGTATAGCATGTTGCTAACTTTAACACTCTAAACAAATGCTATTATTATCATTAATAAACATTTCATATTACTGACAAAGCTAAAGATTTAAAGCTAGAATAAATTTAAAGCTAAGCATAATAATGAATTTTGTGAGATAACTTCTATAATGCTCTTCCTACTTGCTATCACTTAACTGTTTTGAATAAGTAATATGCTCTTAGTATCCTTTGCTTTCATTTTAGTTACTTGTTTTTAAATGACCAAAAATATCTATTCATATATCTGAAATATAAGTAAACAGGTAATTAAAAGTAACAAAGAATTATTTTGAAGACATATTATTGTATTAAGATACCTTATTTTTTACTTTGTATTAAAATGTTCCATTTATCAATATCGTTATGCAAAATATATTATAATTACACTTTAGATTATCAAAACTAAAGAGAGAAAAAAACTTAAAGACCTGAAATATGCCAGTCAGGAAAATATATCAATTACCATATCAGTATTAACTTGGTTATACTGCACCAATAGAACAGGCTGGTTTTTTCTTTAGGATATACTGCACTGCTCAATTACAATTTTCATTGGTCATTTGCAATACTAAACCAAGTTTTCTGGATAGATCTTTTTCTAAATTGAAAAACTTCTGTGGCTTTTACACATTAATTTTATCACAACATACTTCCTGGCAAGAGCTAGGACAAAAAAGTCATTAAACAACTGAAAATTATTCACCTATGAAAGCAGAATGTGGTAACCATATTATAGCTGCCATAAAACCAATTAGAACCTTTTTTATGCAATGAATATTTTTAAAATGATACACAAATAAACGGCAAAATAAATTTTACAGATTTTAAATCAAAGGGTTTCAATCATCCAACCAGGGCTAATACTTCAAGGGTTAGCTATACAAGAAAGAAAAAAGTCCTGAAACAACATCTGACTAGCAATAAGTGTTAACCACATAATGATTTAATACAATGAAAGAATACTGAGTTTCTTAATAGTAACAGGATAGTATTAAAAATGTATACAATGTTCACATATGATTAGAAATTTAGAAAATGGAAGAGGTTATTTGGTTCAAATGTTCATTTTACAGACAGAGGAACTGAGAGCCAGAGATCTGTCCAACATCACACAGGTATTAAGTGAAAAGAGCCAAGATTCAAACCAAAGTCCTGACTCCAAATACAGCACACTTAGGACAGCACCATGTAGAGTTTGAAAAGTACTATCTTTCAAAAGTTCATTATTACCTTTACTTGACTAAAATGCATCACCTAAAATTCCTCATTCTCACACATATCCAATCACTTGACAAATTTTGTCTTTTTTTTTTAAAAAAAAACCCAACATGTCTTCCCTATGTCCTCTTCTTTTCTCTCAGTCACCATCCTACTTCAAGACCCCATCACTTATCGCAGGGACTATTTCAATAGCCTCCAAATTGGTCTCACTCCTTGGCATCTCCCCCTTTTGATAATAAACCCCTGGAGGATTGGGACTGTCTTTTGCCGATTATTATAGGTCCAGTACTTTGCTGAGTGCCACAAGCACTTAATAAATGTTTGTTGATTGTTTCCATGCAACCCTTCACAGTCACCAAACTAATTTCCTAAAATGCAGATGTGACCACAACATTCCTTCTACTCAATAAACCCCAGCAGCTCCCTATTTCCTCCAGGATCAAAAATAAGCTCCTGTTTGGCATTTAATGCTCTTTACAACGTGGACCCATCCTAACTTTTCCGGCCTTAATAGACATTCCTTCCCTCCACAACTCCCACACTGTATGGCCAAATCGAACTGGCCTCCCTGCTGTTCTTTGCACAGGACACTTACTCCATATAGGAAAGGAACAGTTTCACCCATATTTTTGTTAGGTCTGTATTTTAATTTGAAAAACTAAAAGAAAGATAACCTCAACTTTTACCCCCAGGTTCCTAAATCATTCCTTCCTTCTCAGAAGCCCCTCTTTGGGCCCTGCAAACAGCACCAGCAGCATGTGTTAGGCAGGTCTTTTAAGGACACAACGGGGGTGTTTAGCAATCTCACTGCCAGAGACACAAAAAGACACAACCAAGTGAGAATTAATGCTCGAGTTTATACCTAAGCTCCTAGTACCTTGTAGGGAAAGTCTTCCAGAATTCTACTTAATATTACTAGTTGCTACGCAAGGCAGAGGGATACCGTTTTTAAACATTCTTATAAGTTGTATTCTTTTAATTTCTTGAGTAACCTTTCTCCTTAAATTATCTTGTATTTACTTTTCTACCTTATATGTATCCTCCTTCCGCCTCCCCACAATGTAAGTTTCATGAGGACACTTTCCTTTCGGTTTAGGTATCTTCAGCACAGAGCAACAATGGTTAATGAACATGTATCTAACTGAAATGAAGTTCTGTCAGTTCTACCAAGGTAGAAAGGCTTCAATTACTGCCTAAAACAGAATGAGTTTTCTCCAATGACCTGCTCAGCTAAGTTTCAGAGGCTTATCCCTGAAGACCTGGCCACCAGGTGACGATTTTTTTTTCTTTTGGCAACAACACTAGCCAATGAGGACTAAAAACTTAAGAAGTCAGTGGCAGCGATAACAGGATGTATGCTACCTTTAGGGGGCGCAGGGAGGAGGAACTGTCCAAGCCAATGGACTCTGAAACAACCTGGGGCGTCTTGGAATCAGTTAAGAGGCAACAACAAAAATACGTCAGGAAAAGCAGTGAGTATAAGGGAAAGAGCTCTGGATTTAATGCTACCCTAGGCAAGTGCCCTGGCCTCAGTTTCCTCATCTGTGAAATGGGGTTGCACGAGGTGCTCTTTAAGTTCTCGTCCAGCACTAAATCCGAGGGCTGCAGGTGCTTAAGCAATGGCTTTTGGGTGATGACGACAGGTGGTCTCTTGAGCTAGCTGCTTCAATAACTAACTGGTTGGACAGCCAGCGGTTTGGCGTCCTCCGGCTGGTCCCTACGCTTTGGACAATGGGGAGAACGGGGGAGGGACCCTCTAGTTTGGGAGCCCACCGCGCCCGACACCGACTCGGTGTCTAAAGAGCAAAGATTCCTCGGTACCATGGCTGCCTTGGCGTCCCGGGCAAAAACGAACTGGCCAATGCGATCCTTCTCCTCGGGCTGCACGGCACGCGCCGCCAGGAGCCACTCGGCCCGGCTGGGGCGCCACGAAGCGCACGGAAAAGCCCAGCGCACGCCTTCCATGGGGGAAAGCAACCACGAAGTCCGAGAGCAGAGGACCATTCGCGGCGGGCCACGCACGCTCACGTAACCACGCAAGCGCGCACAGCGACTCTATACCTCCGCTCCGAACGCCAGCGCAAAGACAGTTTATTATGCCCCGCCTCAGCCCCTCCCCGGAGGAGCGTGGTCTGCGGGGGCGTGACGTCAACTCGTACACCTAAGCTTGCCCTCCTCTAGAGGAAACAGCTGGGAGCAGGGGGTGGAGCCAGGAGGAAACAGTTGCTGCTCTGCAGTAACTTCGTAGGGTCCAGAGAAGGGCGGTACTTCAGGCACCGCTATTAAGTTATGGAGGAGGGACGAAGTCAAGTCACAGGAAAATTGCACCACTCCTCAGCTAGGACAGGCAAGCTTGACAGCCGGCCAGGCCAATAGCAGTGGAGCCGCTGGGAGTTAGGACGGGCGGAGCTGAAGACCCGGAGACTGCAGATGCAGGTGGGTGATGATCTGTGGTGCCTGAGAGGGGCAAGAGCGGGCTGGAGGGTCCCCTGTGGTCCTCGGTGCCTCCAGGAGAGGGTGAGGCGGGCCTTGGTCCGGGGCGACCTTGGGAAGGGAGTTTTCAGCCTCTGCAGAAGGGCCTGGCCACTGCCTCGGGCTACGCCTCCGTTCTGCTGGGGCTGTGGACGCCTCCACCCACTCGGGGCCCCTTAGACTCCCCTGCAAATCCTGGGCTACAAGAGACATGTGGAAAGATGCTGGGGTGGGGGTGGCCTTGGTCCCTCGCGGTGAGGTGGTGATAGTCCTCTCCAAGGCTCTTTTCCGAGAGAGCGAGAGAGAGCGCGCAGATTGGTTTTTTCTTTTGCTTTTTGTAAATTAAAGGGCTTTGAAATGGATTGCTCGAATGATGTAGACATATATATATAAAATATATATACAATATATAATATGCAGATTTTATTAAGATAAAGAACTCCGAAGCTTATCTCTTCCTGCACCCCTGCCCCAGTCACTCAGGTAGTTAATGAATGGTAGATTAGAGCTAAAACTCTGGTCTTTAGACTCCTTTCCTCTTTCCTCTATAACCTCATTACATCACCACTGCTTCATTACATATATGTATATATGCACACATATATACATATACACGTATATCAGATAAAACCTTTGTTATGTATAAAGCGCTTTTATAGGCACAAAGAGGGCTATAGAGATATATGATATAATCCTCAAGTAAAAAGAGAGGATTTCCTGTAATCACAGTAAGCACAGTAACACAGCTAAGAATATGTTAACAAACTTAATGTGTTAATATCACCTTAATATTAAGTTAATTTGATAATATGCTAATGTGCACACAGTCCACATCCTGTTTTTCCCTTAAGAAATATGAAGGGGAAGCCAGGTGGCACAGTGGGTAAAGCACAGACTCTGGAGTCAAGAGGACCTGAGTTCAAATCCTGCCTCAAACACTAGCTGTGTGACCCTGGGCAAGTCACTTAACCCCCCCAAAAAAAATAAAAAGGAGAAAAAAATGGTTCTCTAAATGAGAAGAGGAGCTTAGCACTAGCTAAGCCTGGGATGGGGAACCTGTGGCCTCCAAGCCACATGTGGCTCTCTAGGTCCTCAAGTGCTGCCCTTTGACTGAATCCAGACTTCACAGAACAAATTCCCTTAATAAAAGGATTTGTTTGGTGAAAATTGAGCTCAGTCAAAAGGCCACACCCAAGGACCTAGGAGGCCACATGTGGCCCAGGCCACATGTTCCCTACCACTGAGCTAAGCTAACCTGAAAGAAAGGTCAAATAATGAAAAAGCATTCAAGTCAGAGAGTTTCTTTGTGAATTATGCCCCGCTATGCCTCTACCAAAAGGTATTAGGTTGAGGAGGGAATTTTCACTCATTTCCCCTAACCTCACCCCTTGGTGGCATAGTCCAGTAGAGAAGTCACTCTTCAAGTAGAAGATAACCACATCCACTAGAGAAAGTCAGTGGAGGAGGATACAAAGAGTTTGCCCTGGGCCAGCAGTGAGCCAGTCAAGAATTTAAGAACACAGTTAATGCATTTAATAATTGAGATTCCAAGAAGTGCAGGACCAGGGAGCCCAGTCGGGTGACTGACCCAACAAAGTCACTACACCTTTGAAGGAGCATCATGAGAGCACCTTAAGAAGGAAAGGACATTGGGACCCTACAGTGCCAAAGGTGCTAGTTGCCTTGATCACATGTGTGCCTCAACACTGGTATACTTGAGTTCCTCAGTACCCTTATACTTATCACTTTCTACATCTCTCAGATTTACTCTTAAAACCACCTTCTCTCTTCCTGTTCATATGCTGATGAACACCACTAGAGAAATTCATATGCTGCTGACTAGGTCCACTATACATTTATGTTATGTAATCTCAGCTGGCCCTCACAGCCACAAACCATTTCTTTAATGCTTCTCTAATCAGCTCTTTATCATACTCTTTGCAATAACTGTTCCAAACATTCTTTTTTTTTCCCCCCTTAAGCTTGCCCACAGTACCAATTCTGCCCTTCTCAGCAGAGGGCCTTGCCTTATACTTCACTGAAAATATCAGGACATGATTTGGAGAGGCTTTCCTTCCCAGTTTTATATATTGAATCACTTCTTCAGCATCATCCCCATTCTCTTCTTTACTCCATTCTGAGAGGATGAATTTGCCTTTCTTCTTGACAGTGCAAACCCCTCCTCTCCTGGGATCCTTGTTTCCATGTCCTCCAAGGACTTGCCTCTTTCATTCTCTTTCTCCCTAATTTTCAACTTCTCCTTACATATTGGCTCTTTTCCCCTTGCTTACAAACAAATCCAATTTTCCCCATCCTTAAGAAACCTTCTCTTTATTCTACCTTCCCCTCAAGCTACTGGACTATCTCCTTCCTTTTATAAATAAATTCCTAGGGTGGGAGGAAAGCTGTTTGCTTACATTTTCTCCCTTCCCACTCATTTATCAACCTTTTGCAATCTGGCTTGCTTATTTCCCCACTCCCTGACTAAAATTACTTTCTTAAAGGTCACCAATGTTCTCTTTATTGCTAAATTCAATTGCTTTTTATCAGTCCTTTCCTTAAAAATCTGTCTTCTAGACTTCTCCAGAGTTCAACACTGAACACTTCTTTCTAGACACTTTCTTCCCTGGGTTTTCATGACACTCCTCTATCATAGTTCTCTTTCTTATCTGTGGGACAGTTTGTTCTTTGTCATCTTTTCAGATACATTATCCATATCACACTATAGCAAACCCCAGGGATTTGTCCTGTACCTTCTTGTCTTCTCTTTCTATATGTTCTTTCATCATTCTCATCAGCTTCCACAAATCTATTATTATCTTTATCATCTCTACAATTTTCTATCATCTCTATTATCATCTCCAGCATGTCAAGACTCCATTTTTCTTCTGAACTCAAATCATGTCTCCAACTGCCTGCACTAATGATTTCCAAAAGAGAGTTTATCTTTCCCCAAAACCTATCTTCCCTCACACTTTTGTGTTTCTATTAATGGCATTCTTCCAGTCACCCAAGTTTGAGTCAGTTTGACTACAAGTCGTCTTTGACTCTTCACTCTCTCTTACCACTCTTATCCTATGAGTGGCCAAATTTTTATAGATTCTACCTCCTTAGCACGTTTCACATCCATCCCCTTTTCTATATCTATATAATCACCCAATCCAGACCCCCAATTACTTTTCACCTAAATTCTTCATCTCTAATCTACCTCCAATCTTTCCTCCATCCTCCATGCAGCCGCCAAAGTGATATTCCTATAATACAGTTCTGACCATGTCATTTCCCTGCTCAGGAAACTTCAGTGCTTTCCATTGCCTTTAGGATATAATAAAAACTCCTCTGTTTGGCATTTTAAAAACCCTTCTCTATATGTCCCTAGACTGTCTGTTTTGGATGATTATACATTATTTCAGTTCACAAACTCTAGGCTCTAGAAAAGCTGACCTACTTGTTATTCCATCTCTAACCTCCATAGCTGAAATGCTCTCCCTCCTCACATTGGTTTGTAATTCCTAGCTCTTTTGAAGGCCTAACTCATATGCCACTTCTTTAAGATGCCTTTCCTGATGCCTTTAGTTGTTAGAATATTTACTAACTCTGTAAATTTATTTTGTATATATCCTGTATTTAGCTATCTATGAAAATGTTGCATCCTCTCTTCTAATATAGTAAATCATACATTTAGAGCTGGAAGGATATCTGAAAGCCTTTAAGTTCAACTCCCTGATTTTACGGATAAGGAAGCTAAGGTTCAGAATGCTCCTTGTTACTTGATGGCAGGGATGGATCCACTTTTATATTTGTATCTCCAGAACTTCACAAACAATCCATTGGTGATTGGTAGTTAAAAGGCATCACAGTGCCCATCTAATTCAACCTTCTTATTTTACAAATTAAATTAAGGCCCCAAAAGGTTATTACTTGCCCTTATTGGTGAAAGACACGGGTATATAGTAGAAAGAGTACTTGATTCGAAGTTAAGACCTAGATTGGAGCCCAACTATGGTAACTGCAGAATCATAGGATTTAGATTAGTAATTGACCTTAAAGATAATTTAGCCCAACTCCTTTATTTTACAAATGAGGAAAATGAAGCCCTGGGAAGTTTGATTTTATCTGAAGTCACATAAGTAATAAGGACCAAAGCTAGGATTCAAACCCCAGTCCTTTGATTCCAAATGCAGTGCTCTTTACACTATATAATATTGGATATCTAACCTATTAAATAATCCAGAGGAAAAGCTCACTATGAGACTTAGTTCAACTAGAAACTCTTCATGGTAACAGAAAATTTTCATTTAGATCTTAAAGGAAAAGTAGAATTTAAATTGTACAAGATAAAACTGAAACTATCCTGTCTTCTCTTCTCTGAATGTCCTGCCTCTTCCATGAAGTCTTTTATAACCACCCTTGCCTAAAGTGATCTTCTTCTAACATTTTCTTTAGGAGATTATTTTCTTCTTTATAATTGTATCCCCAATGCCTAACACAATGCCTAGCATATAGTAGGTGCTTAAAGAATACTTGTCAATCAGTTAATTAATGTCTTGTTTCTCTATCTAAATTGTAAGCTCCTTAGGTACAAGGACCACATCTTATATTGCTTTTCATCCCCCTTAGAAGAAGGTAAATAATATTTGCTGATAGATATACTGGTTTTATAACAGTATTTTTCCTACCGTCTTATTCAAGTTTTAATATAGAAATTTATTACTCTTCCTTCTTACTTTTCCTTTCCAGTTTCTTTACTAAAATAGTATGCTGAATTTTATTTTATAAGGAATAATTTTTATTTCAAATCTCCTGAGATGTTGATCATTTCTTTAATGGGGGCTCCAAACTGTGACATAAGCTTATTGAGAGAAGGGAAATGATCTTTTCAATTGTGTTTCTTTTATTTCCCTATTATTATTATATTCGTACTGGATTGTTCACATACTAAGTATTCAGTAAATAAAATTTTT